GGGGGCGGAGCCAAGGATCACATAGCCCAATACGGTTTCCAGTGCGTAAGGCGCGGTATGCGAGGAGTTGCCCCTGACCTTATTGTTTAACAAAAGATGAGGGAAAAGCGATGCCCCAATGAGCATGTCTATGTTTCCAGGAACGGCGTAAGTGTCGTCTGCTAGAGTCAAATTTTTAAATTCAATCATTGCCGAGGTGTCAACCGAAACGGTTGGCAACCGTTCAGTGACCCTATCTACTACTAGTGCATTTATATCAAAGTTAACGTTACGATCTATCCGAGAATAAAATTTTAAATTTATATATCCCTGTGTCGCTTTACTAGTACCTCCGATGCCTTTAACTACAGGACATGAAAGTGACCTATTTATTACTAAGCCTAAGCGCTGACAACATTGTCGTGTTATAAAGCTATTTTGGGCTCCGCTGTCCAGCAGTGCACGGACGCTTTGTTTGTTTCCACGCGAATCCCTAACCAAAATACGCGCCGTACCCAGTAACACGGTTGAAGGAGGTTGTGCTCCCATATTTGCCAATGAGCACAGAGCGACATCATCAGGTCGACCGCTAGAATCGTTGACCTTAGTAGGGGTGAATTCCTTATTCGCCTTACTTGACGCCGCTATGTTGCTATTTTCAAAATGTAATAGCGTGTGATGTTTCCTGGCGCACTTGCTACATACGGAACTCGAATTGCATTTTGCAACTAAATGCTTATCGCTTAAGCAGTTCAAACATAGGTTGTTTGTCTTTACTAACTTATAACGTTCGCTTGGTGAATATTTACGAAAAGTCGCACAGTTATATAAGTTACCGTGTTTATCTTTACATACTATACAAGTATGCTGGAGCGATGTCGGCGTAGCGGTTACGTAAGTTAACGACCCTGCTATTTTAGATGGTTGAGTCTGTCTACGGTCGACGCACCTTTTAATCTCCTGTTTAACGTTCGGTGAGCGCTGCATCACCTTTATTTGATCTCGCACGAACGATGCTAATGAATGAAAGGAAGGCATCTCCGAGCTACGATGCTCCATTTCAAACGCACGCACGGTGTCGGAGTCTAATTTCTTTAATGCTATATGGAGAAACACCACGTCCATAAGGTCATCAAACTTCAAATTCTTAAGTGCAGCCACCGATGCCACAAATTTATCGAGAAACTGCTCTAAGCCGTTGATGTTCGCGGATGATATAGGTTTAAGATCGAATATCTGGTTCAAATATTCGGAAGCTAACATTCTCCTATCTTCATATTTAGTTTTAAGCGTTTCAAATATTAATACGTAATTGTTTGCTGTAGGTGTAAAACCCGAGCAGATCGACTGTGCTCTGCCACTAAGTTTGCTAATTAAGTAATATAATTTTTCAGCGTCCGATAACGATGGGTTGTTGTGTATATTGTTTTGAAAACTACTGAAGAAGAAGGGCCACGTCTTAATATCACCATTGAATACCGGAATATCTATTGGCGGTAACCTAATTGAGTCACGAGGGCGTACCTGCATTTCAGGCTTCGCTTCACCTTGAGATTGTAGCAATTTTGCGGTTCTCTTCACGCGACACAACATATCTTCGAATGCCAGCAGCGGTTGGTAGTTCACTATGTATTTCGGGTCGGTTTGTAGTTCCGAATGATTAATTTGGTCTAATATTCTTTCGTAATCTGTCCGCAAATTATCTATCGTTTCGATTTCATTTAAAAAGGCCTCCCGTACTGCCTCTATATGAATGTTCTTTATATAATCACTTATATTTTGCACACGCGAAAAGAGTATGTCCCTCTTGGCATAAAGCGTTTTAATTTTGATTTCACTTCCACTAACTGCCATTTTAAATTATTATAATAAAGTTATATTAATCACAATTAATCTCACACGCATAAACGACGTAGGATGAATACTCGGCGTGCTGTATTACGTAATCAGATCGAGCGCCCGATGCAGTCAAGGCTACGCGTCGTTTGCTAAACCTAATAATTTTATAAAATTGTGGGGTAAGCGTATCAAACGGTTGCTATCACGCCGTTTCAATTATTTAATAAGCTTTAAATTTAACCAAATACGAGCGCTATTAAATGAATAATTCTGTTTGCGAGTAACAAATCAAAATTTTAATTTAAACGAACACTATTTAAGTCTATTCCATAAGTTAGAGTGCGTTATCTAAACAATTAATTTAATAATTCGACCAGAAAATGGTTGGATAACCACTAAACACCAATCCAGATCCTGCCGAAGTGACCATAAAATGGTGGAGCCACGTGTTTAAGGCTGCCGAAAATCTAGTTCCCCGGTCAAACCTCAAACCTATTACGCGAGATATTAACTAAAGTGGACTGTATATGCGATTGCTTCTACGCTTACGTTAAAAGCGACTACTATAGCATGCGGTACAATGCACTCGCTCTTCCCTAAACTAAACTATTACTTGTCGAATCGATGAAAGGAATCCTGCTTGACTAGGAAAAAAAACACAGATTGGAGCGGGTTAAATTATTAGCAAGCAGGTATAATTAAGGAGTATTGACTCACCGGGGGTTCTTCTTCCTGTCGATCACTATAGCGGCGACTTCTGGAACACTCCGGAGAGAGGCGGTGCGCGACGATATCTCACACGAGGTGAGGCGGGTTCCTGGAGCTCGACTGCTTCCAGGCCAAAGCGGTTTCCACTAGTGAGGTGTTTCCAAACGAGCGCGCGGGAAGAGGAGGTTGTAGTTCAACGACGACTGCGGCGGGAGAAGAGAGCGCGCGTCGGTCGCGCGTGTCTTATATATCCTCGGGTCCGATGATTACGCGATGTTCTAGAATCGTCTTCTTTCCCCTCCCACCCCACCACCCCGATGTGTCGATAGGAGGGTACGAATGATATTGTTTCGGAAGGGAATAATGATTCGACAAGTTCCTACCGTCAAAAATAAAAAAAAACGCGAATGGTTTTCCGCGCAACCAGTAGTTTATAACACCGAATGAATAAAGGAGTACTAGGACTGCGTATAAGTTTATTGCCTTAAGTAGATTTCTAGCGTTAAGATGAGATTTAGAAATACATTTTACTCTACGGTAGTATTCTTTTTGTAATTGTTGTCTAGCTTCGTTATGGTTTATTTTACCCGCTTCATTCATACCTAAATATTTATATTGTTCTCCCGCTTTCAAGAATTCAAATTCGTTGCCGTTTGGTAATATATGACCCGACCCTTGATTCTCTCTTCTTTTACCTGCTACCATACGCAAAATGTTACATTTACTTGAGCCGAAGGTCATCCCTATGTCTGTTGTAAAAATTTCTATACTGTCTATTAACACTCTAAGATTGTTTTTATTATTAGCATATATTTTGAAATCATCCATATATAATAAATGGTTAATCGTAGTATTGTTTTTTAATTTGTATCCTTTAGATTCATATTTTTTGAGAATTTGAGAAACGGGATTATTAGCTAGGCAAAATAAAATAGGTGACAGTGAATCTCCTTGGAATATTCCTCGCTGAATGTATATGGAATCTGTAGTAACAGAGCCATTTGCACCAGTGGCTGTCATGATTATATTCCATTTGGGCATGACCATCTGGAGAAATCTTTTGATAGTTGGTGAGCATTTATAAATATCCAGTACTTTTAGTAACCATTCGTGTGGTATACTGTCAAATGCTTTCTGATAGTCTACCCATCCCATACATAATTTTTTCTGGTTCTGTTGTGCATCTTCCAGTATAGCTTTATTAATCATGAGATGATCTTTGCAACCTCTAACATAACGCCTGCAACCTCTTTGTTGAGGAGCTATAATATTGTTCAGGTCACAGTGCAAGTAAAGTTCGTTGGAAATTATGGACGTTAAAAGTTTGTACATGGTAGGTAAGCACGCTATCGGTCTCCAGTTCTTTGGATCTGGGGTGTTCTCATATTTAGGGATCAATATTACCACTCCAGTTGCAAAAAATTGTTCAACAGATTCGATTCCTTTCAAAATTCTATCAAATAACTGAGCAATCTAATTATGTGTACTGGTAAGATATTTAAGAAAATAGTTATGTATTTTATCAATACCCGGCGTTTTCCAATTATGTAATCCGCTTATAGCATGTTTAACTTTATCTTCATTTATTTCGTTAAACGTGTGTTCTACTATTTCATCCATTGAGTCTTCTATTTCCTTAATCCATCGAGCTTCAGTATTGTATGATACTGGTTTTGATAGAATGGATTCCCAAAAACGTTGTACATAATTTTTTAATGGAATTTCTGTTTGAATTTGTTGCTGACCATGACCAAGACTTCTAAAAAGTTTATGTTGATTTTCTTGAAACAGCTTATTTTGTAAATTTCTATTGTTTATATCGTCATACCTCTTAAGTCGTCCTGTCAGTGCTTTTATTTTCTGTTTAACTAGTTCTACAGTGTAGTCTAAATCCTGATCATTTCGTATATTATATTTATTAGATAACCTATTTTTAAATCTTATCATGTTTCTAGTATAATAGTTTCCTCTCTGAATTTCTACTAGTCTGCCTAAATATCTTCTAAAATCTTCTATTTTTTTTTTGTCTCACTTTACACGGTGCATTTTGTTTCAATTTTATTGCGGTCAGGCTAGTCGACTTAGGTGTAATTGCTTTTTGATTATTTGCAGTGATTACTGTTTTATCTGCTGCATAAATAATGTTATTTATTTCCCTCAAGGACTGGTGCGACTCTAAAAGTTTTGGCAAAAAATTATTAATTTTATTTAAGTTTTCGGAAAACTGTTTACAAAATTTAGCCTTTGGTAAGGAATCCCTATCCTCGATAGTTCTTTAATTTCCGCAAGAGTTTGTAGGAATTTCAGAATAAGGAAATCTTGGTTGTCATCTACTTTGATATCAGGACTATCAAATGTATATCTATTTTGCTGTTCTGGAATAGTTTCTAAAACTGTACATTTTGTAAGTGGTTGGGTCCTTGTAAGTATATCTGATAATAAATGAGAATTTTTTGCGTTATCTGTAAAGTTACGATTATCAGAGATCTGTTTGTCTGGACTATCACATATTGTAGTTATATGTGAAGTAGTGGATGTAAGTAGGTTGAGATCAGCCATGTTTTGTGCTATTGTTATATTTTGTTCAGCTCTAGATTTAATTTCGTCTAAAACCTGGGTTGACAAGAATTTCCTAGTTATTATATTTCTAGCTTGGTTTGCAAGTGTGTTTCCTGTGAATTTTAGTGTTTTAGGATTATTAGGATTCCTATCTTTGAACAGTTTTTCAAATTTTTTTATGTAACCACGACCTTCAGATTTCGATTTAAAATAACAGAACATAAGTTCATGAAGTTCTTCTTGTGACCACTTTCTCCTAGCATCTTCGCTTACTGCTACGCTTTCTATGGTCACTTCTGACGTACCGGCAGAGATGTTTCTAGGAGGCTCATCCCTTCTCTGCAAAGTATCACCAGGATCGGCTGTTGCATTTGAGGATCCTCGTCTTCCCCTCTGGATCTCTCCGTCTCTCGCCCGCCTGTTCAACGAGGTCCGGCTGTATAGTATCCTGATTTTTCAGAATGTAATCAATTTGTTCTACAAACAGATGCGTCAGGATACGGCGTAGGGGCAGTTTTGTGCAATAGCGACGGAAGGCCTGTAGCCTATGCTAGTCGTAGTCTCAATAAGGCAGAAAAAAGGTACCCGACGATTGAAAAAGAATTACTTGCGATTGTGTGGGCCGTAAAACATTTTCGGCCATACTTGTATGGAAGGAGATTCAAAATTCAGACTGATCATAAGCCCTTATTTATCTATTCGGAATGCGAGATCTATCTAGCCGTTTAATTAAATTTAGACTAACATTAGAAGAATATGATTTTGTACTTGAATATTTAAAAGGGAAAAATAATTTTGCTGCTGATGAACTTTCTCTTTTGCATATAACTTCGGAAGAATTGAAAGAGATGAATCAAACTGTGATTGAATGTAATGACGCGTGGCCAGGTGGCTAGGCAACAACTAAAAATTCCACTTTTGAGCATAGCTCTCCTTTAGATTGTCTGACATTTGCCATAGTTGGCTTGCCAACCGTGGTTTTTATTTTTATTCAGCTGTTATCAGTAAGTACTCCTGCCCATCTCTTGGTTCAGTTTCCCTCTGCTGCCTCTCACAACACTCACGGGACGAAATGGGGCAATGGATATTCTAACACTACTAATTCACGGTTGCGGTCGGTGTAGAGACGATATGCCATTATTATCACGCATGAACAAAGGTCTCGCGTAACATGCTCCCTGATACATCATCTTGATAAACTAGGCATTTTTCGTAAGTTAACTCTGTCATCGCCATAGTCATCATACGAGAAAATGAACTAGGGCTGGTCTTTAAGCCCATAGGCATCCTTGTCATCTGAAACTGTCCCGAACATTGCTCCAAACTAACGTTATAGTAACCTTGATGTAAATCTAAATGAGAAAAATACATGCAACCAGATAACGAATCTAATATTTCGGTTATATTTGGAAGTGGAAATTTATCATCATGTATACTGTTATTAAGTTTTCTGTAATCTATGACCAAACGCCATTTTTTGTTTCCGTTCTGGTCACTTTTCTTCGGCACTAGCAAAATTGGACTGGACCATTCACTCTGACAAGGTTCTATATTATTCTCTTTCAGTATTTGATCAATTTGATTATTAATTTCATTTTTAAAAGCGTAAGGCAATCTATACGGTTTTGAAAAAATCGGCTTAATATCGGATTTTACTTGTGTGTTGATAAATATCAGTGGTTGTTAACTTGTCCCCTTCTAAATAAAAATATCGGAATATTTCGCACATAAATTTTGTATATTAACTTTTTCCTCTTTATTTAAATTAATTAATTTTAACTTTGACAATAATGATTTAACTCGCGATGCATTTTTTTCAATTTTATTAAAGTTACAGATGTAATATTCTTTCGAGCTTTGTATATCAAGTTTTATTTCGGACACAGTTACGTCTTTTGTAGGCGTATTCAAAATTCGGACTGGTATTTTACCATTAATTGGGTTTACTAATGTACTAGCAATAAACACGCCATCGCATATTTCTTTCGTACATACCACACATTCTTTTGTTAAACTAGTATTAATGTAGTGAATGGATTCTGATCTGGCAGGTAAAGATAATAAATTACTACACGAGTCTATTAATTATAAACTTATTTGCTTAGATTCATTAGCCATAATGATAGAGTGTTATGTTTCATATCTATAACTGCTCCATACCTTCCTAAGAAGTCCTGCCCTAGAATACCGTGCGCCTTACGGGCTATTACGCACTGTCGACTAGTCGCCGGCGACTCAGTCCATCGGCGACCGAAACATGGGAAACAGGGCCCGGAGACCGAGCCGAGCGACAGTATTCCAAGTACATTCGTGCAGAATGGACGTTGAAGAACTTGCAATAGTAGCGGCGCTACTAATTATAAAAAAGAAAGACAAATAAAAAAAAATCAAAAGAGTATTGGGTGCATCCTTTGTAAGAAGAACGGAGGTCAAAGGGAATGTTTAAAATATTTTATGAAGACGTTAGAAAATATCCTCGTAAATTTTTTAATTATGCAAGAATGTCTGTGAGTTCGTTTGATGTCTTATTGTGTCTTCTAAAACCACATATAACTGGCATAGATACAAATATGCGACCATGTATTTCTCCGGAAGAAAAACTTTTTATAACACTAAGGTAAGTGACAATTCAAATAAAATTCATTCCTAACATTTATTTTTTACGGGATTTTAACACAATTTACATTACATTCCCGGACACATCTATCGGCCAAACCTAGTGTTTAAAGTGTTGACGATCCCTAGCTAAATATAAATGTTAAGTGGTGCAATAAGTTTTTATGCAGTTTTTTACGAAAACGATGGCCAGTAAATTAGCTTCACACCTGCAAAAACTTATTGCTCCTCCTAACATTTATTTTTAGCTGGTCTCCAGTCAAAACTTAAAACTCAAGGTGGGCCGATAGATGTGTCCGGGAGTGTGTTTAGAGTTACAGATAATGCCATCCACAAAGATGCGCGATTAAATTTAAATAGAGCATCTTTCGTGCTGTTCATAATACTCTTTCCTGATTAGTCAATTTCTATTAGTGTGCGTTTGCATTCATCGATAATTAGCGTGTATCGACAGATGTTTAACACATGCGGAAGATAGCACACATGCATTTGAACAAAGAGTGGGGCGCGTCTTCGTGGATGGCACTATCTGTAAGTCTACTCTTCGATGACATAATTTAAAAATATACGGTAAATAATTATAAAACATGTATTTTTTTAACCCTTAAATGCATGACATACCCAATATCATTGGAAAAAATATATGTTGTGTAAAATGGTTTATAGATGCTGGAAAAAATAAAATAAAAAATCATTATTCAATATAATTAGTTTTATTTTGAAAAATATTCTGGTATCATTTTTGATACAACATGCAAAAAACTACAATTTTATTCTCAGTTCTATTGTGTACTACTTCCGTTAATTGACTTATTGTTAATTATTGCAAAGCACTAATGTGCAACCAAATGATCACAAAAATATGTCCTATAGATGAAAATCATTAAAACAGTCAGTTGTTTTTTTGTTAGAACACAAATACACCTTACATTTTAGACACATAATACTACTCAGCAGTTTGCAGCCTGGGTTCATGCACCTCATACGATTTTGTTGCCTCGATTGAATATGATCCACTCCATCGTACCGAACATCTCTCGAGGGCATTACCTGCTGGATGTTTTTCCTTTTAGGTGCTGGCTCCTCCGAAAAGTTTCGGCTTGGTCGACCTCGTGAAGGTACAACATGTTCGCCATATTTGCAGAGAGCATCCGCCAATTCAGCTCTAAACTCTGCCAGATTCAAAACCTGCTTAGGGTTCAAATTCTTTTTAGCAGAGACTTTCTTATATAATATCCAGGAGTTAATTACTGATAGGTCGAGTAAGTGGTAAAAAATTCGCATGTACCATTTCCGAGACTTTACTTTTATGTGATACCTGCCTAGGAAAGAGTCCATGAGGTCTACTCCACCCATGTGTGCGTTGTATTCCTTTATTATTTTTGGACATGGTATGGGCACCTTTTTCTTTTGGTTTTTGTCATATCTTTCAATCGTTTCTACAGGTTCAGCGCCAATATAAGTGGAAAGTAAGGTCACCTGCTTGTTATCTTTCCAACTGATCGCAGAAAAATCCACACCATCGAGACTTGTCGTGTTTTCAACGTAGGATCCTCGGGGTACATTACTGTTCATTACTTCTTTCTTTTTAGGCAACTTACAAGACTTTCCTAGACGGTTTAGCTGCACCGTACCTAAGCACCATATGCCTTCCTTCGCCATGTAATACATTAGTGGTAATGAAGTGTAATAGTTATCGAAGTATATTACATGGTTCATCATTCTTGGGACTCTTCTAGTTAACTTTATTACTGTATTACCGGTCACTCCAATATCAGGTTCATTACTACGCATTGGTTCTTTGTCTGTTCCACTATATATTATGAAATCATAGCAATATCCTGCCAAGGAACACAACGCAAAAAGCTTGAACCCCCACTTGTGGGGTTTATTGGGTAAATATTGTTTCAAGAAATGGCTGATTTTTGTTGCGCACATTTGTTCGTCAACTGAAAGGCGTTGTTCCATTGGAACACTAGAAAATTTCATTGTCAGATGATCTATAATGGGTCTTAGTTTGTGAAGTTTATCATGGTCGGGGCTACCAACTGGTTTGTGTAAATTATTATCATTGAAATGTAATATGCTTCTTACTTTTTCAAATTTGTTGACAGGCATTGCTTCTATTATTGGTCTAAATCCAAATTTACTGCTCCAATACGATCTAACGCTTGGGTAGCGATAGACAGACATGAATATCAATATTCCCAAATATTTTCGAAGTTCTGTAAGGCTTATTTGAACGGGGCGATCAATATTGGTCTGCGTCGAATATTTATTGGTTTCTTCAACAATTTTTTTCAACAAGTCTTCTGAAAAGTACTGTGAAAAGAACTGCAGTGGGGTTTCTAGTTTCATTAGTTCAGGTCCTAATTCTGTACTACCCAAGAAAGCAATTGATTCCTCTTTATACTCCAAAGAGCGTTTTTTCCAAATCAAATTTCGTGTATTTATTTGCGGAAATACATTAGACCGAGAAGTCGAAGCTTGTTGATAGATTTCTTCATGAACCAGGGGAGGATCCGGGCATTCTTCAGTTTCAGGCACTTCCTCTTCATCACTTACTTCTTTATCTTCGAGTACGGCTTGTAGATCTTTGCGAGACGGATAGAAATCCAAGTCATCCTCATCTGATTCGGCATCGTCTTCTGAAATTTCGCCAGCCTCTAACCGCATTAGCATATTTTCTATATCATCGTCTTTCAATTTCTTTCTTGTAGTTCTGCAACAAATTTGTAAAGTTCAAAGAAGCGTAAATAAAAACAAAAACGCGAAAATCATCAACATGCATAGAAATATTTTTTATGCCTAAGTGCATGGTGTCTCATTTTCGATACAAACTAAAAACTCTTTTGTTTATGAGAGAAATCAATTTTTCGTAAAAAATACATAAACCTACTATAAACACAAACACTTACCTTGACATTGTATATTTTTTTTTTGATATAATTTGTCTCAAATCCACTCCGATTCGTCTGGATAAAGTTAGAATTTTTCACAAAAACATTCACTCGCTGACAAGAATACTTTTGACAGCTACGAAACAAATATGGTGGACCAATACGAGAAACTTTGTTTTTTTTTCCGATAGACAAATAGTCTAAGGGCATCGTAACATACAGCCTAATAAAAACAAACAATTGGCTTTAAGTTTTAGTTAAAAAAATCTCAACGTATCGTTTTTGATACATTATGCATTTAAGGGTTAAAGTACTTAATGAAATCAATATTATAAACGAACGCACAACAAAAGGAAATATTCAAAATAGATCCAAAATGTCAGAATCTTGCGAGGTATTTGAAGTGACAGTAGAAAATCGCGCCTCTGGGCGTTCACGTTCTGAAGGAGTTGAAGTTGGTAACGTATAATAATGTTGTGCTTCAGGGCGTGATTGTTGACTTGGTGCTGTTGAACGCCCGGCCTCCGGTGTGAAGTAACCACGCTCATACTCGTACTCATTAAAATTTCGCCACATTGTGTTTGGATATATATTATTTTGAGTAGAGGATCGGAATGATTCGATTACACTGATTAATTGAATTTTCGCAGCTGACTTTTTGTGCTCCGGAATTGCCCTAAATGATGATAATAGGGACATCAGGAACATTCTGTCCTCATCTTGTTCCAAAATATCCTCCTTATTTTTGCGAGTTTCACTACACTTGTTTAATGTGGTTAACAGTTCGCTTGTGCCATCATCTGACGTTTTTTTCTTTTTTCTTCCGACTATATTTTCTCTCGAGTAAGGTCCTAAAGGTTCTTGATCATTTGTCAAATGTTCTTGTTCAGCAATGTTACTCTCTGTGTTCAAATTACCAACGGTATTCTTCAAAAATAACAGCTGATTATAATAAATATAGGGAGTTTTATGGGAAGCAGTAGATCCGCTTTTAGTATTTTTTAATCTTCGTACTTCTCGCGAAAAGCAGCTTCTTATATTTTTCCATTTCTTTTGAAGTGAATGACCTGTAAATAATGTATATATTTAAATTATTTTTTAATTCCAGATATCTTGGAAGCGGTTGTAAATTTGTAGATTTACATTACTCATACAGACTTGGGATTTCAACTATAGCTGAAATAATAAGAGAAGTTTGTCATTTTATATGGGTTGTACTAAAAGACATGTGTTTACCGCAACCGACAAAAGAAAATTGGTTAAAAATCGCAAAAGATTTTCATTTACGGGCCAATTTTCCAAATTGCATAGGTGCCGTAGATGGTAAGCATGTAAGAATTATAAAACCATACAACAGTGGATCATTGTGTTATAATTACAAACACTTCTTTTCTGTAATTTTGCTTGCCATTTGTGACTCTAACTATAAGTTCATATACATAGACGTTGGTTCCTATGGAAAGGATTGCGATTCAACTATATTTACAAATTCAACGTTTTATCAAAAGCTAATGAACAATGATTTGCAAATACCCGAACCTAAGCCCATTTCATCGACAAACCCTATACCAGTACCGTTTGTTATTGTGGGTGACGAAGCATTTGGACAAACTGACAAAATTATGCGACCGTTCGGTGGATCAAAGGAGATGTTCCATAAATGTATGGAGCCTGGGCCAGCACTATGTACACTATATGTGAATATTGCTGTATAATATAGTAACCGTTTTTTTATTGTTAGTTTTCTTTAATTTCACTGCGTTTCATTGTACATTCAAATTAACTTGGTCAAGGAGAGCAACACAACATAAAATTAAACATGGTGGATCCAGGTGGATCGGAACAGCAGTACGCGAAAAATGTCATATTGACAGTGACATTTGATTGACGTGTATAGTAATTCGTAATATCTGCAATAAAAAAAAACAACACGAATTTCAAAAATCTGGGATTTCGATAAAATAAGACTACAGGATATTCTTCTCGATTGCGGCACCACATTTTATATCACCTATTCGAGTAGTTACAGATTGGTTATATCGGTGTCAAGAGGAGCAAGAAACGAAACAAAGGCTTGAACGTTATTTTATTTACAACACTTTCCTGCTGCTTCGTTTAGTTTTTTACTTTAGTGCCTATAAATATACTCTGTACTTCAATAATTCATAGGAGAGCAGTTAGCTGTACAGTACCTGATGACTGCAAGTTATAGTTAAAGTAGATAACTATACCTATTACACAGTAACAGATGGGAAGAAATCAACTATTCTTATCCAATTAGGTAGCAGCAGCATAATCAGCCTATAATGTTTCTACCGCTGAGACATATAACTACTTTCTGTGAGAGTGGACTGTAATCCAACATGCGGGCCCAGTGCCCAATTAAACACTAACAATTTTTCAAACAAGTTCTATGTTATATGATTCCTAGTATTAGAGACATTAATAGCATGAGAAATAAGTCATGAGGTATACAAATAAAACAACTTGTTGAGACTTTTAATTTTATTAATTTTCTACATCATCCATTATTAATATTCCATCCAGGAATGACGCCGGTGCTTCTATGCTCTCTTGGTACCGAGCCCAACCCAAATACCACACAATGGTCATAATGTGAGCACAGCAACCCACTGTTCGTTGTCCGGAGATACAACTACAATAATAGCTAATTATTTTATCATCCCAACTTGATCCTTCCTTTGACAGCAAAATATATGTATAATATGTTCGTCCTGAGCTATGTCGAGATTTTATACGGCCTCTGATTAAAAGAGGATCAAGTTGGGATGGGGTTGCTTCTGCTACTACTTCCAGTTGGTCAGATACTTCTACCTGAAATGATCCATGCTGCCTAATATGTTCCCCGAAATAGCTTCTAGCCTGTTTTATTTGATAGGTACCCAGCCCAAAAAGTATCAAGTCAGACATAGTCATTTCAGGGAAAATACTTAACTCTGGAAGTTGACCATCAATTCTTGTGAATTGGGCTCTAAAGCGGTTGATCCGGTTAGCAATTATAAGTTCTGCTAACCGGTTGGGCATATTTTTTCTCTGTATTGCTCGAGTAAGTATAGCATCAGCATCTGGTCTATTTTCAATCACTGGATGGAATGCATTAATTATAGCTGCACAAATACGAACATCGTCCATCAAATGGGTGGCAGCCAAATTAAAATATTCGTGTCTCAATAGCTTAAAGTCTCTTTTAAATCGGCCATTAACTACTTCTACCACCCATCTGCATAGTGTCACACATCTTGTCTTGTTTGCACTGATGGTTGATAACTGAGTCTCTCCTTGTTCTAATGACTCCGGTTTAAATACTTTGAAGCCCAACCCCTCTAGCATTGGAATGGAATCACGAAAGCCTCGATCCAAAATGAAAACATCATTGGGCTGAAAAAAAGCCCTTAGACCCTCATTTTCATTTTGGAACAAAGCTTTCATGATGTCAGCATCTGATTTGGTTGCTGGATAGGGCCCCAAAATATCAATAATATAACCATCAGTGGCAACAATGAGAAAAGGTTTAACAAGGTTTCTATATTTGTGCAAGCTATAAGTTTTTTTTTGGAACATATAGTTGGATGATTTTTGAAGGTATATATAGGTACCATCAAATATTATTATTGGTACTCTTGCCTCTCTGTTTCCAAACAAACCCTCGGGTATTAATAAATTCCTATTTATTAAATCATTTCTTGTATGATTGATTCCTAAGTGGAGAGGCACAAATAACCTTAGCAATGCCTCTTTAGCTACTCTAAGCAATCGTGTTATTGAGGACTTGGTCAGATGAAACAGAGAGGCAATCCTTTCATGGGAGTCCCCTGTACGAGCTTTCACCAAATAGATTCCCAAAGCAATTTTTTGGTTTTTGCAAGTCAATGCTGGGCTTATTACATTTAAAATATTTATAAAATTGTCTTTTGTAATTCCAGTCCAGAACTTAAAGAGTCCCTCATCAATACTACTCATATTATTAAAATCTAGTTGATTTATTTCATTGTCCTGGATACTCAGCTTCAGCATTGACTCTATTTCATTTTTTGTAAATGTATTTGAGAACTGATGCTGGTCCAGAAACTCCCAGTTGTATAAACATTTATGTTCATTACATACTCTTGCATTTTCTGTCACAAATATTTTTTCCGATTTTAATATAATTCTTCTTAAGTATTCCGGCACTCTATTTCGTTCTACATTGTTACAGGCCGGCACAAAACAATGAGTACTTGTCTGTGTTGTGTGTGTAAAACCATCAAGTGTTATTGATGCACTTGGTGGCTGGATATCAAATTGCACAACTTCTTGCTCCATTTCTATATTTTCGTGTGCACGTGTCCAGCAGTTGGAACAAAGTAGCGCATGTTCTGGTAACTGAAACAATACAAGAAACAATTTACTTACAGGAGCAACAGAAAGGGTTACTTACAGTTAAATGCAAAGTTACATTACTTGTGTATGGTGGTTTAGTAAATTAAAATAATTTTACCTCATTGGGGTAAATTCTTGCTGCAACTTCATCTCTCACAGGACCACTAGCCACATGTGTTCGCCTTCGGTGTAGCGACATTCTACACCATGCACACATAGAGTCTTGGTGAAGATTAGATGGGCCTTGCCGGTTATCCTCAACCCTTGTAGCATGCTCCACATTTCTACGTGCTGCTACCCAACAAGCATAGCAAACCAGTCCTCCTGGTGGAATCTGAATTAAACAAAAGAAAACAATATGTATTGACTATTAACCCAATTATTTAATTCCAACAGTAGGTAATTAAGTAAGTTGTTAATGTTACCTCTCTTGGATATATCGTTTGTGTTATTATGGTCCGTTCAGGTCCTTCAGGTATGGAGTGGCTGCGTGTTTGGGCAAGAGACCGTCGGCACCATACACATGCATTCATATTCATAACAGCAGGAGCTGCTATGATTCCTTGTTGTTGTATTGTACGCCGAGTATGTACCCAACAAGCAAAACATATTAAACCACCCTCGGGTATCTAAAACAAAAAATATGAAATTAATATTTATTAATTTAAATCAAAACATTTCTAAATAATTTAAATCACAACATTTCTAAATCATTTTAATAAATCAAGATTTAGTTATTTTAACATCACCTTCACAGACTCAACCAAGGTGATGTTATAAGTTACATATCTACACACATTTCCAAAAATTAAATTGTGACTGTTCTGTTTCTTCCTGCAATAATATTGTCTTAGACCATAATTAAGGAACATCTGCATTTGACTGCCTGTATGAATAAAAAAGAAAACAAAAGAGGTGCTTACCTCTCTTGGAGCAATTGTTTCAGCAATATATTGCCTTTCGGCACCCTCGGGAATAGAGTGTGCACGCCTCTTAAACAAAGATGTCCTACACCTAACACAAACATTGCTATCATGGCAATGTTGGAGTTCGTGATCTCCATGTGCCAGACCATTAGATACCTCTTGCATTATGATGCCAAAGCATTGTGAGCACATCACTTCATTTCCATCAACCTAAAACAAAACAAAACAAAAAAGAGGTTATACAGTGTTTAAAAATATGTTACAGTAAATAGATAAATAAAATGTTTTTTACCAGATGGCCAAGATACCGCTCGATGACCGAAATTATTTCAGGACCCATATCATCGGTAGCATAATATTGTTCATTTTCATCTATTACAGAAGTGCACTGGAGGCATGCCATTGTCAATAAACTGAAATAAGTATGAGTTAAAATCTATTAGAATATGGAACAAAGGAAGAAATCATCACATAGAAATAGCATTTGAACAAAACAAGTAAATGCACGGGTAGCGGACATACCTGAAACTGAACTTGTTATTGTAAAATAACACGACGGAATCCAAATCACAGGCGAATCAGAAACCATATAACAAAGCCGGGGTCAACAGAGAAGCAATCAAATCAATGTCCGTAATAGTAAACTGGGTCGTAAAACAAAAACAATCACTAAAAACTCCGAAACACATCCAATTCAAACCCAAAGCAAAGCAATACTCAAAGACGTCACTTCTTAAAACTGTCAAAGTCGTCAAACGTCATAAAACACAACTGTCATGGCTGCCCTCGAAATAGGGTTATCCTATAAAAAAACTTTTCAAATGATCATTTTGTACGCCTGTACCCTTCTTCAAATTAATTTGTAAGTATTTTTATGAAATTACTCAATTTTTTTCCTATTTATCTATGTAGTGTACATAGTGGTAGCCCAAAATCAAACATCTCCTTTAACAACAAAGAAAAAAATATTTAATTATAGGCTTTCTCGTGCACGACGCCATATTGAATGTTCATTCGGCATATTAGCAAACAAGTGGCAGATTTTTCACAGACCTATCAACGTGAATTTAGATCTAGTATCATGCATCATCAAAACATGTTGCGCTCTTCACAACTATGTCCGAGAAAGAGACGGATATAAATTTGAAGATACCCTGAGCATTCCTGGCTTTGAAGAAGTCCCATTTCCAAAGAGCTACGCGACGTGGTGCATCATACAGAGATGTATTTGCTGATTACTTTACAACTGAGGGTCAATTATCTTGGCAGATGAGCAGTATTAATTAATAAAAAATAAATGGCATTTCTTACTTACCTGAGTTTTTTTTTTCTTCGTCTGATAATTCTTCACCTCCAAATAACTCCACTATTTCTTCCCACTGTTTTTTCTTCAAATCCCGATTAGCATATTCCTCACTTTGTAAATCCCAAATAGCTTTTCGGGATTGTATTTCCGATATAAATTTATCCGTGTCAAAACACATTGTGCGCGGCCGTCCGGTCGTTACGACAGTTGCTCGCAGTGTGAATGCTTTCATTTGAAACCGTGCTCCTATTGGTCGCCGGCGACCGGCAGTTGCCTGTGCGTCGCCACTGCGCGGCGAGTCGCCGAGTCGCCCGGGCAACCGGTGACTAGTGCGTAAACACCTATTTAAACTATACAATATTACAGTCGTCGACAACTGAGTCGCCGGCGACTAGTCGACAGTGCGTAATAGCCCTACAAGGTAGCCTGTCAAATACATAAAACTTATGACGAATACTCTGCTCATGTATTGTCAACTGTAATCATACATATCCGATTGCTTGAACCTTACCACCTATTCCATTTATAGTTATATTTTCTTTGTTCATTGGTATCTTAAAATCTAGAACATGCCTATATTTTATGGCTGAAATCGAAGCTCCTGTATCTATGAGCCAATTAAACGCGTATATGTTGTTATAAAATAACTCTATATAATAACTACTATCGCTGGCTAAGATGCTATATGTTATAGGCACGAAAAAAATCATTTTCAGGTTCCGAATTGTGTGTTGATGAACTCGAATGAGGTTGTGAATCATCAGTCACCGCTGTCCTAATCTGTCCCCTAAACTGTCTACGACCTCTATAATTATTATTAAAAGTTCTACCTCGGTGTTGAGTTCGATCTCGAGGTGCCCCTGCCTGCGGCTGACGCTGCTGAAACCACTGTCTAATTCTGCCATGCGGTTGCAACCAATTGTTGCTAAGGCCCCGCCAACGGCCAGTGTTGTACGTACCTCTCGGAGTGTTCTGATACGGAGGCTGCCTGGAATTGTTTTTATAGAATCGATTATTATTATGCCTTAGTGTTAACACTTCAGCTGCTGAATTTGAACTTGAGACGTCCTCGTCAATTGCAGCTTGAATCGCATCTTTCAAATTCTCAAATCTCTGTGCAGTAATAATCGTACCAATCCTACGATTTCTTAATCCATCGCTAAATTGCCTAATTGCCTGTTTTTCGTTTATAGATTTCAAAATATTAAATTTTTCAACATTTCCCTCGGATTGAGAAATTGTGAGGTCGACAAATAACTCGGATAAGGTTTTTCCAAAAGCATCAATAGACGCATCATTTTGTTTACAGTTTAAAAATTGTTTCTGCAAAGCGTTGGTAGACTTTTTCGGTAAAAATAATAGTTTCATATCATTTAAAAGATTAGACACAGTATCATATTTTGTTGCTAATTTTAGCTTAGCAGACTGCGACAGTCTACTTTTCAAAACAAAGGAAATTAAATGTGTCTGTGACTCAGCATTGAGAACCGAACTGTAGTATTCTATACCATCGATTAGTTGTCGTAAATTGGAAAGTTCGTCATTCATTACTGGCAATAAGCTCAAAGCTACCTCCAGATCGAATATATCCATTGTTGGAAAACAGTTAAAAGTCTCTGAAAACTGACACAACTGAATATTTTTCTAAAAGAAGAACCTCATCCTCGCTTAAGCTTTCCTTATCAATACTTTCTATATAATAATTATATCGCTCACTAATAAATTTCGCTTCATCTAGCTTTTTCTGCGATATCTTACCCTGTCGCCTAGAGGGTCCTATTTTAATTAAATATTGTCTTATAACTAATAAATCATCATACAATTTCTTTAAAAATGTTGCCATACGTTTAGTACTTTAAAATGAGTCACTTATCTAAGGAAAAGTTATTCAAAATTAAGCATCATAAAATATTAACATACCTGTATTAGCTTGAAACCCTTAATCCTCAGCATATTCTAGAAATTACTATAACATTTGTAATATACGAGTGTACATGTACATTAACTATGATAATCGTTATTATTTTTTTTATTATTATTTCGTGGTATTTATATTATTATTTATAATATTAATTTAGTACATAATTAAATATTTTTTTAAGTAATATATTAGGTAAATAATGCTATAGTCCACCAAATAATATCCGTTAACTTAGCCAACAACCCGATGAATAGTAAACGCGTATATATTTTTTGTTTTAACACTTTTACACCTTATTGTCATCAATCTTCAAATCGGGGTAAGTCTGTCGCCGTCGAAAGGAAAGCCGACGCACCCTGCTACCATCCAGCTCGACCTCTTGCCGTATCCAACGTAAATGACATTTCCTGTATATTCTGAATATTCCATATAATACTCCCAGAATTAAGCAGAGAACAATTATACATAACAATATGCTTGTTGTTTGCAGGTGGAATTTGAATTCTTCAATTGGCGCACTATTTGTGCCCCCAGCTGCATTTTGCGCAATAACAATATTTTCTTCTTTAGATTGTTGTTTCCCCATTTTTAAAGCACACTACCTGCACTCTACCGTCGCTGTTAATACTTTCCAATAGATTCATTCTATTTATTCGATAAATATCTTGCACTGTCCAGAGAACACGATGTTTATATTTCACGGCCCATATTATGTAAAACACGGTCGGCGCCACGGCGACGACGGTGTCAAAATACTACTACGCGTGAATCTACTTTCGGCAGGGTCGCCATGTAATGTGGTGACACGAGAGAGAAATGAAAACCAAGACTGTTGAATAAATACTGAATATATTTGCAATCATCAATCCTTAAATAGTTACATTTAGGTTACATTGTGTATATGTTTATATGTAATATGCTTATATCTATTCCTTACATCTCAGTAGTCTATATGTGTAAGAGTTGTACATGCTCCTGTTATATGTTGTATTGTCTCTGGTTGGGTGAAGCACTTGCGGCATTTATCGTTGGTTACTGTAGGGTCTTTAATGACCTATTTCCTGTAGTTCTTACTCTGTGTTGATGATCTGGTCTTGTATTGCGATGATAAACCCTTCAGTTTCCGGGAATAGGTTTCCAATTTTAAGCCATTTATTTGATGCTACTGTATCTACATGTGGTTGTTCCAGGTCATGTGGGTGTCGTCCGTGCAGGACTTTTTTTCCAGTCCTCTAACTTTTGTTTTTGTGTGTTATTAGTGTTATTGTGTTGTGTGTCTGTGTGTTCATTTAGGTTAAGCATTTAGGGCTACGGCTTTATGAATCTCACTAGTTCTAGATTTATTGTGAAAGAATGTTTTGAGGCTACTAATTTGTTTCTGCCAAAGGTGTTGAATGTCTATTAGGCCTCTCCCTCCATTTTGTCGTTTGATTGTGAGTCTTTCTATTGCGGATTCAAGGAGTCCGCACACTAATGGGAACGGAAAGGGATCGTAACCGTATCGCCTTTCACCTCGCTGTCAACCAGGCGTCAACCTACCGTATGCACGTAACGAAAGCGTATCAGCAGCGCCTGTACGTTAACTCGGCTACGGCTAGGCGCCACCGCGCTTACGCCTCGCTGCCCGCTGGCTGACCTGGTTGGCACCAGATCAGTTTGAATCCAAACGTTAAGTGTAGCGCACGGTTATGTCTTGGTTTACAATACGTGAGTTGGCTATCATAGCCATAGTACTTGATGAAGAGGAAAAAGAAAATAGCAAGAAAAAAAGGAAAAGATATTGGGTACACAATATGAATAAAGCAAGGAGTACTGAAGGGGAATTTCGGACTATAAAAAAACATTTGATGGATGATGAAGAGAAATTTTATATTTATTTTCATATGCCGAAATTTCTCTTTTATAACATATTGCAGTCTATAGATGAATGTATAAGGAAGAAGAATACAACATTCAGAGAAACAATATCGCCCGAAGAAAAACTAGCTGTAACGTTAAGGTGAGAAATTGCATTTGTTTTTGGAATTTTTAATCTGGTCTACAAAAATATTTGTACAGACGCCAGCTTTTCCCAATCAACTTTGAACCTAATGCTTTAGCGATAAAGTTGAAAATCTATTAAAGAATTTTGACAGATTGTAGTAGGTTGATGTGCTGGCGTCTATAGTGTAAAAAATAAAACTCGGTTCCGAAACTCCGAGATAGATTAATTTTTACCCTCTGTCGATAAAATTATTTGTTTTGGAAAGCAACCCTCATTAGCGATCAGGTGTGTACGGGGGGGTGTACGTGTTATGTCTGATGTGTGTGTGTGTGTGTGTGTGTATATTTTGTGTGTGTGCGTAAGAATAGAATAGAATAGAATAGAATATACTTTATTGTACACCAAAATTATATCAACTATTTTACAATATTCAAAACGTATGGGTTAGTAACTGCAACTTTTTTTTAGTTTAGGTAAAAAAAATACTCATAAATCACATATTTTTTTATCATTCTAAAAGATATCATAAAATCAAAAAATTATGGCAATTTAACAAAAATAGCGCTACAACAAAAATACAATCATTGTATAAATTAAATAATGTTTGAAGTATTAAGATCGTCAGCATTTGACGTGCCATTTTCTTCTAAGTTTGACATATTAAAATCATCAATGTTTGAAGCGCCAGATGTTGATTGTATCTCGTGGCTAATGTTATTTAGAGTGGTATAACCTCGAGGCATGTCATCTTCTCTTTGGGGAATGTAAGGGTTGCGATAACTGTAATAGCTTTGTTTCTCTGCGATGTCTTTTAACTCCATTTCCGAAACTGCGTTATATATTTTACTTTTTATAACCGCTTGGTTATATTCAGAAAATTTTTTAACCGTTGCCGCAATGCTGTTAAAAAATGTTTCTATCTCATCTTCTTTTTTGGTTTCGTTGTGATTTAATAAATATTTCATTAAAGTTTGTGACGCTGAATTGCTTTCAACTTTTTTTTTGAAGTTTTGGATGTAACTGAAGATGCAGAAGACTTAGGACGCGGCGAAAGTGCAGAAGTTTCAGGTTGTGAGTTTTCTGGAGACTGAATTATGTTTATTGAGTTCTGTGAATCATCATTACCCAAGCTAACATCTGAATAGTCATCATAATCAACCGAAGAGATCGTATTTCTTTCTTTGTAATGAGGTACTAAAAAACTCATTTCATCTTCAAAGGTCCACTTTTTCGTCGTCGGGGCTGCCTGACCACTCTTAGTTTTACGCTTCTTCATAGCTCGTCGGTGAGACTCTCTAAGATTTAACCAAGTTTTCTTGCATTCAGATTCTGAAATAAAATAAATCATGGTTAACTATGTCAAGCGCATGTAGTTACATAATGTAGGTATGTGTGAAAGGGAGTACGTACACACACACATTCACATAAACATTACACGTATTATATAAATATACATTTATTGTTGCAGGTACTTCATAACTGGATCTACATTTACTAATTTATCATCGAGCTTCCGTTTAGGAGAATCAACTATTCGTTTGATAGTAATAGATGTGTGCAATGCAATAATAAATAAATTAATGCCAATTCATATACCTCAACCAACTACAGCCGCATGGCAAGGAATCGAAGAAGGATTTAAAAATAAATGGAACTTTCCGAATTGCATAGGCGCCATTGACGGCAAACATGTAAATATAATTGCACCTCTCAATAGTGGATCGTTGTTTTTTAACTATAAAAAAAACATTTTCTATTGTTTTGTTAGCTATAGTTGATCCTGAATACAGATTCATAGCGGTTGATGTCGGAGCCTATGGAAAAAACAGCGATGGCGGAATCTATTCGTCATCTACATTTGGAAAGGCACTTGAAAGAAACACATTAAATATTCCATGTGACAAACCATTACCAGGTACTAATCATGCAATGCCACATGTATTTGTGGGAGACGAGGCATTTCCATTGAAGACATATTTATTAAGACCATATCCTCGCTCAAATACACGGAGACTATCAGATCCTGAACGGCAATATAATTATCGCTTATCACGAGCTAGAAGGGTTGTTGAAAACGCTTTTGGAATTTTATATCAAAAATTTGTGATTTACAACAAAAATATTAAATTGCATCCAAAGTTTGTGGATAAAGTGGTATTAACAACTTGCATTTTACACAACATGATGAGGACATATAACATTGAGATGAATTTACAGGAACCGAACAGAACAGAACATGAAATTACAGTTGAATTCGGCGAAGACCGATTGTTAGGTCAATTACCAAATATTAGTGGTGCCCATATGGCTACTGCTTTTAATGTACGTGAAATGTTCAAAACATATTTTCAAACTTCTACCGGACGAGTACCATGGCAGAATTGTAGCTTTTAGCTTTAAATATTAATGTTAATTCTTAATGGATATTACAGTTAAATTTTACATTATAATAATCACATAAATTATATTAATCACAACTGTTTTATTTCCCATAAATACCTACATACGCGAAAAACATTAGATAATAAATTAAATAGGAGTAGGTACTTACCAGATTGCTTTAAAGTAATACTTATTTGTTTCCAAGCCTCGTCCTTTTTTATACTATTACTGTATTTAGCGTCACTTAAGTCATATAAATATGGATATTTTCTCACTTCTTCAATAAGTTTCTCCCTTTGCATCGTTATTTTGTCTTTGAATCTAACTTAAAATTTTAAATAAAACATACGCGCAACACAAATGAAATACGCCTTGCGAATGGCAGGATGGCGGCGTCTTTCTCTTTAGCACGCAAGTCGCAGGAGGGGACAGGGGACGGAGAGACGTAAGCGCGGGACGGAGAGACGTAAGGAGCCGTAAGCGCGGGAATTGCAAGTTCGGAGCCTGTTCTGAGGGGAGGCGATCACGGTACGATTCCGATTAGTGTGCGTTGCAGTAGGGAGTTAAATACAAACCATTCTGAACGACTCGAGGCGATACGGTTACGATCCCTTTCCGTTCCCATTAGTGTGCGGACTCCTTCAGGGTGCAAATTATTGTGTTTGGTCTGGTGCGTGTGGTTCTTTCTATTTGCTATATGTCAGTTTTAGTCCATTTAATCACTCCAAACGAGTAGGTTAATATTGGGATCGCGTAGGTATTTAATACTTTAATAAGATGTTTTCCAGCGAGATATGTTTTGCATACTGCGTTTACTCTCCGTTTGTGTTCTGTATTCATTGTGTGTTTAATTGCTGTATGATCTAGTCCTTTGAGTTGTCTGTATCCTAAATATTTATATAGATCTGTCGGTTCCATAGCTGTGATTGTATCAGTAGTGTTAATTTTTAGTCGCCTGGTCTTATTTTGCCTCTTATTATGTGTTGTGTTTTGCATTTATCTAGTCCAAACTGCATGTTGACGTCTTTACTAAATTCTGTTGTAGTATCTATTAATTTTTTCATTTCTTTTTCTGTTTTTGAGTATAATTTAATGTCATCCATATATATGAGGTGTGAGATAGTGATATCTTCTGCGGTGTTGTGTTTGAGTCTATATCCGGTTTGGCACTGATGCAGAAGATGAGACAGGGGACCTTGATAAATACCTTTCCTAATAAATATCTGTCGAGTTCTTACGATGTTGTGATAATTCAATTAGAGTGTAGTTTTCCAACGGGCGATGATATGATGTAAGAAGTTTATTATTTTTGGGTTTATTTTGTATATACGTAATACTTGAATTAACCAGGAGTGTGGAATACTATCAGCTTTTTTGTAGTCTATGTAGGTACAATGAAGTTTTCTATTTTTGTGGTGGCATGTTTGTGGACTATTGAATCTATAATTAATTATTCTTTGCACCCCATGTGGCCTCGTCTGCACCCTTTTTGTTCTTCCGCTATTATGTTGTGGCGTTCTATGTGTTTATTGATTTTTTGCTGAGGTTAGGACCTTGTATATTATCGGTAGCCAAGTAATTAGTCTGTATTGGGACGGTTGTGGGGAGTGTTGAGACTTCGGTAACATGTAAGTTATTCCTGTTGCAATAAATTCAGGTATATTTTGTTGTCCTAAGATTATGTCTGTTAAGTTTTTAGCGATAATTTTGTGTAATGAATCTAATTTTTTATACCAGTAATTATGTACTTTATCAATGCCAGGTGATTTCCAGTTGTGTAGTTTTGCTGTAATACTATTTATATCAGATTCAGATATCTCGACGAATTCCATTTTGTAATGTTGGGAGTTTCGAGGAATAAGTGATACGTCTAGCGGTCTTGACTGTAGGTTTATTAGTAACTCTCTCTTATTCTATCCTACATATACATAAGCACGCACTACACGCCCATTGTCAAAAAGAAAAAAAAAAATAGAAATACAAAAATATATATTTTTTTTCAATTAATTAAAACTTGGTGTAAAACATCAAAAAAAATTGTACATTATTTTAAAATATTAAAATTTTTATACCTACTATATCATATATGGTAGACATAATAAAATAAAAATAAAATACCGTAAACACCTTAATTTAAAAAAAACTATCTCTGAATTTAAATTTATTAAACAATCATCAAATTCCATACGTATTTGTATTGATTCTTTGAGTTTTTGTAGTAAAATAATTTTTGTTCGCCTATCGTAACTGCATAACTTTTAAAATTTTTATATATAACTATTACTATTCACTAGACATGAAAATACAGTCCTTAAAACAAAATAGTTATCAAAAATATTATAAGGTGTTTACAATTTTTTATATTCTTAAACTTAAACTATATTATTCATTTTAAATCGTAACAAATCTAAAAGAAGCTAATGCCATTGAAATAGTATCCTTACTTTTAAGTGGATAAACTTCAGCATACTTATTTAAATCACACTGTAGTGTGATTATAGAGTGAAACCTGGTTAAGTGAGACATCAAGGGACCTGCAATGTCGTTTCACTTATAGAGGTATTCCACTTACCCAGTGTCTCAGATATACAGGTATAAATAAATATCTGTCTCATTTACAGAGGGTCCATTAATAGAGGTGAGAATAGAGGTTATTTCAGTTATGTACAGGTGCGATCATTAAATAAAATAACGTGTTATGTATGTAAATGAGTTTTAATAAAAAAAAATATATGCAGTACTTAAAGGTAATACAAATGTAATCAACAAAAATATTCAAGCATGTTTTTACACGTAATATGTACGAATATGGAAACAGAATGTATCAATTATAAAATTATCAATTATTATATCAATTATAAATTATTATATATTTGGAAGTATCAGCCATCAGATGTTTTTCGATATTATAAATTTTATCAAATATGCTTTGGTCACCAATTGATGACATTTCAAAATAACTGTGCAAAGTTTCTAGTGCTTTTACTGCTTCGCGTTTAGAATTTTTTACTAAATTTACTTCCGCGCTCATTTCATCGTCTTCTTCTTTATTTTCCAATGAAGAAGACGAGAAGGCATGAACAATTGTAGTGTTATGATTCGATCTTTTATTTAGTTCTCCGTAACTCTGCAATTTCGGGCTTCGTGCGCGCTGTTGCGCTACCTTTTTTCCTATATCAAGCGTCCAGCGAGCAAGTCTTCCTGATGGATTCGATAAGTTCTGAAACCATTTAAGTGCAGCATGGTCAGTATATATTGTAAATTCTTTACCATTGTCTAGGTAACATCGCCAATGTTCTAACGCAGTTATTACAGCCAATGTTTCTCTTTCAGTAGTTGAGTAGTTCTGTTGATTTTTGTTTAGTGCTTTACTCATGTAAGCAATCACGACTTCTTTGTCATCTTGATGTTGAGTAAGCATTGCTCCTATGCCATAATTTGATGCATCACAATGTACAAAGAAGGGTAGTTCGAAGTTAGGGCAAGCAAGGACAGGAGCAGTTACCAAAGCTTTAAGTTTTTGGAAAGCAGCTGCAGCTTGTGAATTCCATAAAAATTTAGGAGCGTTCTTCCCGGAACATGTTAGTTGGTTGAGTGGAGAAGCAATAGTGCTAAAGTTTGGAATGAATCTTCTAAACCAGCTGCAGGTGCCTATGAATCTTCGTACTTCTTTTCTGCAAGTAGGTACAGGATATTCTAAAATAGCTTTTATTTTATCTGGATCAGCACGTAGACCATACTCTTCCACTAGAAAACCAAGGTATTTCAGTTCTTTCTTGAAGAATTGACTCTTCTCAAAGTTAATAGTCAGATTAGCATATGAAAGTTTTTCATGAACTTTCATGAGAAGCGATATGTGTTCATCAAAAATCTCGCTAATAGTAAGGGTCCGTTCACACAGACCGGCTCGGAGAGCATCGGCCTGCTTTTTTCTTTTCACACAGACCGGGTCGTATACGCTTGGAATTGGCCGGAGCGGAGCCGCCAACTATTTCACATCGACCGGCTGGAAGAGATCTGAAAGCGGGTGCGGTTGGATGTGCTCGGAGCCGGTCGGATGCGCTCGGAGTCGGGTGGATACACTACAAAGGCAGTGCCAGTATTCCGCGCAGTCTAAGTTTTGTTTTCGGTGTGTTAACGTGTGCTTTTCGAAACATGGATTTAGATAGCTCCGACGAAGAAATATATTTGTTAGCAAGATTACTTGAAATAGAACATAGGAAACGTAAGCGCAAGCGGAAACAAATATGGGTAAAACATATTTGGAAAAACCATGGGGAGTTTCACACCATTTTCGAGGAATTGAAGAGAGATAGCCTAAAATTTTATGAGTATTATCGTATGGAATATTGGCAATTTTTGAAATTGACAGATTTGTTAAGAGTACATATAACAAAAAAAGACTACAAATTATCGTTGCACCATTACAGCCGAAGAAAGGTTAACGGTAACTTCAAGGTAAATAAAAAACAATTATTTATACTAATCATGTTATTTAGATCACAAAATCACAGCCCTCCATTTATTAAGCATTGTTTACGTTAATGAAATGTAAATTACTTATACTAATCATGTTAAATAACACAAACATCTAAATAGATCACAAAATCACAGCCCTCCATTTATTAAGCATTATTTACGTTAATGAAATGTAATTAAATAGTACAGATTTGTGTGTGTTTAATTATTATTATAATTATTATTGTTTTTGATTGTTTATTATTTTGTATTTTGTGTGCTGGTATTGTACCCGTAAGTAGTCTGATCTGGATAGTTTTGAGGAATATAGGTTTCGTTTGACACTAGGTAAGTAGATTGATTAGTCGATGGCGGTGAATTTATAGACAAAGAATAATTCAAATCTGTACTATTTTCATACAGACTTAATTCAGCTTCATTAACAATGTTAAACACGCGCCTTTTAATTCGTGCTTGGACTTCTTTTGGGAATGTTTCCACTGTATCTGACATAGACAAAAAAAAATTACGTAATGCCTTGTCACGGGGTGTAGTATTTCTTTTTTCTTCAAGATACTCTTCGAAAACCGTAGCAACATCTTTGCTTAAGCGTGGTCTCTTTTTCGAGCCAGAAGTACTTGCAAGCGATTCAACTTCAGAATGGTCAGAACGTTTAGATGATGTCGATGGTGGTGGTATTGGTGTGCCAGGCTCTGAATCATCCGATGATAATGTTACATTAGATATTTGGTTTCGATTGCGAAAAAATGGTATTATAAAAGAAAGTTCTTTTTCAAATTTTATCAATTTGGACGTAGTTGCACCATCGCCACTCTTGCCTTTTCGGTTATAATAGGCTTTTCTGAAGTTATCTCGCAGTTTCTTCCAACGATCCTGGCACTGCGTCACTGGAAAGAACAGAAATGAAAAATTAATAACATAACTCTTTTTTTATTTTATAGTTCGTTTTGGTACGGCAGTCTTATATTTCTATTTTGTGTGTTTGTTTTATTTTTACAGATTCCTCATCACTGGTTGCAGTTTCAAAAACTTGTCATTTAATTTTCGAATGGGAATTTCTACAGTTCATTCAATTATTCATGAGACAATCAGAGTAATTTCTGATGTTTTGATGCCCATAGTTATGCAGATGCCAGATGAAGAAATGTGGGAAAAGGTTTCACGTGATTTCTTTAATATTTGGAATTTTCCTAACTGTTTGGGCGCTATAGACGGAAAGCATGTCAATATACAGGCACCAGATAATAGTGGAAGCTTATACTATAATTATAAAAACTTTTTCAGTACAGTGTTACTAGCTGTGGTCGACGCGAAATACAGTTTTTTAATTGTTGATGTCGGATCATATGGTAAAAATAGCGACGGCGGAATTTTACAGAATTCAAAATTTTGGAAAAAACTCAACACCAATAAGTTAAAGCTGCCCCCAAATAAACCTCTACCTAGTACCACTGAAAGCTTACCACATGTTTTTATAGGAGACGAGGCATTTCCTTTGAGCAATAATATATTGCGGCCGTATCCAAGAGAACAAGCAAGAACAGAATTATCAAAAAAAGTATTTAATCTGCGTTTAAGCAGGGCAAGAAAAGTCGTAGAATGTGCATTTGGAATGCTAACTCAAAGATTTGAAATTTATCAAAAACGAATGAAAATTCAGCCGAAGTACTGTGATTTAATTATATTAGCAACTACATGTTTACATAATTTTTTAATAGAAAATCGGACGCCAGGACAAGAGAATGAATTTCACAGCAATATAAATTTATTAACAGCAATAACAGACAATAATAATGAAAACAGTTCTAATAGCGACGCAGTTCTAACCACAAGGAATAAATTTAAGGATTATTTTTCATCAAGTGGTGCTTTAGATTGGCAAGATCAAGTGGCTACGCGAGTTTCTTAAGTTATATTTAATAAAAATTGTCTACTACATAAGTATATTCTAACGATCAGATACTCAAACGAGTTTTTAAAGTAAGGGCGCATTTAAACTCATGTTATTCCTATTTTGACTTTGAATCTAACACGTCGCAGCACGAGTTTAAGAAGCCCTTGCTTTAAAATTCGTTTGAGTATCTGGGGGTAGGTGTAAAACAATGAAAACCTTACTTACCACTTATTCCGAGACATTTGCTAATTTCCTCCCATGCATTGTCTTTCATTATCCGATCGCTATATGATGGCTTGGTTATGTCAAATAAACACTCATATTTTGACACGAGTATTATTAATTTTTCATCATTCATCTTTTTCGTACAAGTACGCACAACTATTACGTTCAAATGTTGCTATCAAAATGGCGGTCGGCGCGGCCGCAGCGGGCACGCAATCGGAGCCGATCGGCTACGCGATAGAGAAAGAGCACGCAATCGGAGCCCATCGGCTGCGCGAGCGAGAAAGAGCACGCAAGCGGAGCCGGTCGGCTCCTTTTATTACTTCACACGAAGCGCGTTCAGGCATTTTTAATGACAAAAAAGGTGCAAATGCAAAAATAAACTTTACTACAATCACTCAAAACACTGTTTCCAACGTGATAAAAATCTGCTCTCCTCTCCGAGCCGGTCTGTGTGAACGGACCCTAACGATGTCATCCAGATAGCAAAATACCTTGTTTTCAAATTCAGGAGTAAAAAGCATATCTATTAATCTTTGTAGAGTTGCAGGTGAGTTAGTGAGATCAAAAGGCATTACCTTGAATCTAAACATACCTCTTCCAGGTACATAAAATGCAGTTTTATCTTTATCAGCAGGATTCAAGGGAATCTCCCAAAATGCTTTCGCAATGTCGATGCTTGATAAGTATTTGGCATTCTTCAGGTTGTCCAAAATTTCACTTATTAGTGGCAGACTATAAGTATCACGACGTGTAACTGATTTAAGCTTCCTGCTGTCTACGCAGAAACGCCATTCACCATTCTTCTTCGGAGTGATGAGAACTTGAGATAACCAAGGACTTTCCCATTGTTCAATGACGTTCCATCCCAGCATCTTGTCAACTTCATTAATTAACGCCTTTTGTTTTTCAGGAGACAGTCTGTAACATCTTTGTTTGATTGGAATAGAATCACCAGTATCAATCTTGTGGGTGATTAAGTGTGTGCTTCCCAGGATACCTTTTTCTTCAAAAGAAATTGTCTTGAAGCGTTGGATGATGTTGTTAGCGATGCTCTTATGGTTAGGAGTTAAATGCTCATAAGGTAAAACTTTAATATCTTTAGTTACGATAGCAGAGTATTTAGATTCTGCAAAGTTAAGAGAAGATAAAACACTAGGTAAAAGATTAAATTTTCTCCAAAAGTCAATACCTAGTATTAGCGAAGGAAATATTTCAGGGAAAACATAAGCTTTAATCAAATGAGTTTGATTATTGAAATGAACAGGTAAGTCAAAATAACCCAAGGAATTAACTTTTTGATTATTAGCAGTAGAGACAGTAATAAGATCTGACTTGAAAAGTTTACAGCCCAGTTTAAGAATTTCCAAATGAGAATTATTACCCAGAATAGTTACTGAGCTGCCAGAATCTAGTAAACCAGATAAAGTTAAGTCATAAAGGGCATTGCCCACTCTTCATAGACATTTCGGCCATGGGTGCCCACATATAAAAGCATATAGATATGATAATATACAATTAAAGGAATGAAATGGTTAAGAAATTGGTTTAAAAAAAGTCGGGAATTTTAAGATATAAAAGTTTTTATTTTCACAAATACAGTTTTTTAACAACTAATTTTACCGATGTTATCGCATTTAATTTCTTTGATTTTTTAATTCCCGACTTTCGGATGCTTTCCAGCACACATGGTCATGGGGGATTGAGGTGACTGGTGTACCGAAATCAGTGTTAACTTGGAGTAACTTCAGCTTTTTAATAACTATTTATGGTCCGATCTACGCAGAATGAACTTACTGTCTTGAAGTCTTGCGTGGTATGCTTGGGTTTAGTTTTAATTTTATTAATTACAGTGTCCCAAGCAGGTGGAAATACCCAGCTTCATTCTCTATTGAAATTAGAATGTTTGAATATGGGTGCAATACATTACCGACTTCAGATTGCAACGAGGATGAACTAGATGATTCAGATGGTTCCCGTTCTGCAGTTGAATGTGATGCTGCTCTATCAAACCTTCGCCAACAATTATGACACACATGAGATGACGATGGCAACTGAAATAATATTAAATAAAAAAGTGAAAAAGTGAACTAAATAAAAATAAAATAGATTTGTTTCCTTTAAACTCAAATACATATAAAATATTTATCAAGTTAATTGTTACTGCACAAAAGCAGACTTAATGGCCTATATTATTTAATAATTAAGCACTTAAAAACTACCAGTAGTCCAAAAACAATGAAAAATCAATTGTCTCATTACTTGGTAGTTGGTAAAAACGGTAGCAGTCTATCTGGTGGTGACAAGCTAATCTTATCGCCATGTTATAAATAAGCTTGTATGTTTGTCAGATATAGTTTGTGTGGATGTAATCAGAGTAAAAACATGTATCACTATCAGATATGAGCCCAAACACTTAATAAATTAAAAAATGTTGAATACGTACCTCACGTGGTGCAATTTGATGGGCAATTTCATTCCTTATGAGTTCCTCACGTGGAGAATCAGGCCCAAACAATGTGTGTGATCTTATTCTCAAAAGTGACTTGCCACAGCTGATACATACATGTACATGACTATTAATTGATGAATTTTCCTGTTCGCTAGTTGGATGTCGTATTTGAAGGCTAGTTCGTTACTTCGATAACAAATTCACAAAAATAAAAACAAACACGCAAATGAATTCTACATGTGACTATTTATATAGGTATAGATATAGTTGTGAAATATGAACTGAATTGTGATTTCATTCCATGACAGGGCCTAGCTGTCAGACTCGATGTTGCCACTTAACTGACATAAAATAGATGAAAAGATATCGATTTTTATTCGATTAATAATATCGTTAAAAAACAATCTTTGAGGTGCTTTAAGTTCTGCACACTTTTTAAAATATATTTTCCTTTATTTATTTAAATGCTATTTGAAATGTATTTTTAAGAACAGTTAAATTGTGCAGTAGCGTTTTGTTTAGCTTTAACCTTTTGAGCGCCACGCTAAAAACGCATTACCGTGTCCTGTACGCCAAAGCGCCAAAACAAAATAGTGTTGCCAAGAGTTGATATATCGATAACGTAAAATAACTTGTTTTTGTTGGTTTTTTATGCTATAAATGACTCTTTATAAACTGTATGTTTTATTTAATCTTGTGCTGTCATCCACTCTTTTTATATATGTACTTTGTACATATAAACATAAATAAAAAACAAACAATAACAATAAAATAGTAGTAAACCACAGCACTACTCTCCATCCTAATGACAACACTGTCACGACTAGACGACAACGGCGTAGCTGACCTTCCTTTTTTTAAACATTCTTAGAATGTTGTGTATCGATTTCAAAATCGATCTAACCGAAATATACAGACATCGATTCATAATATTTTATGTGTCGGGGAAGGCGTAGACCAAGTGAAGTACAGAAGAAAAGTCTTACACTCTTATGACAATGGGGATTTGATATGATGCTGATGCTGCTAGATGATTTTGAAACTGAGAAAGAAAATGGCACAACACAAAATGAAAAATTGCTCTTCACACCTTAAGTAAAAAAACATTAATTGTAATTTTGTATTATTATTAAAAAAGGTACATAATTATTCGTACATCGTATATCGACCAAATTGGCGATATTTTGAAAATGGGCCACGTTAAAAGTACCCTTAACCGACGAGCATGTATGCGTAGATATATGGATGTAAAGGAGGCGAAAGAGGTATGTCAGGATCGTGCCAAATGGAAGTCCGTAGTCTCTGCCTACCCCTCTGGGTGACAGGCGTGAGTGTTTATGTATTATGTATATGTTTATGTATGTACATAATTATTCATTAATCAACAATTGTACATAATTATTCGCACTAGGTAAATCAGCCTTATAATACTAAAATCTTGGTCATGGAATAAATAAACATTTCATCACAATTCATCAATCAAAAATCAAAATTCATCATCATCGACGCTTTCCAAAATCCGAATGAGTTCTGAGGAATCGTTCATGTTGCATTGCTCTACTTTTCTCGGTAATCACTTATGACGTCATCAGGGTGTCGTCTATCCTTGATCACGGTGCCCAGTGAACTGATTTTCGATGACGCGCTAAAGATGCGCTAGAGTTGAGATATTAGATTTATTATGCGAAGATAATCTGATAACATTTTTTTATTCATGTAGCTAATTATAGTTTTATGTTTCTAACCTTTAATTTTATTCAAATATCAATAATAATAGAAAAAAAAACACCATTGAGCTGAATTTTGGATAGTTTTCAAGAAATATATGCCTCCCGCGTTTGACACTAGCGGTCAACCATAGACGACTTTGGCGTGCTGGACATAGTATTTGCTTAGATAAAAATCCATTTTTATTAGTTCAATGTTTCTTAGTACTTGTGACTCTAGAAGACTTGTTTTTTATACTCACATGTTGCTGGGTTATTCCTATTTTGAGGAGTGTAGAATTAAAATACCTGTAATAATTTTCCAATATCTATATTTCATATTTTTCGGAGCCGGGTTTTTTGTCAACTATAGACGTCGTTGGCGCTCAGGGCCCGCAGGTGTTGGTCAAGTATAGGCGACTTTGGCGCTCAAAAGGTTAAAGGATTCATGGTAAATCAGCTGGAAATTAACTTGTTTCGTTATCATAACATGATTCTATTTTAAATGTATTGTTATAAACAGATAAGAATAACTTAATCGATCTTCTTTCAAAACAGATAAGAATAACAGTTCTTATCTGTTTTCAAAGAAGATCGGTTAAGATTAACAGTTAAATTGTGCCGTAGCATTTGTTATTCTCTAAAGAATTCATTGGAAATCAGCTAGTAATTCGTTGTTTAATTATCGTAATATCATAATTATTTAAAAATTATATTAGCACTGTAATGATGACACCGTAAATAATCGATCGAAAAAGAGAATCGATTTTTTTAAATGTGTTTTGTGATTGGCAACACTTTTTTTTATTCACAAACTAATGACATAATGATTTACCTAATTTTTATTATTATGTTTCCGGTACTTTTAATTTGTGCAAAAATATTCCCATTGTTTGAGGATAAATGAATACCGCGATTAATAACAGGCTAGGCGTTCCATGGCCGAAAATGGGCAATGCCCTTTTGACATTAACGAATGGACGATTAAGATCTTGTTCTTTAGAGTAGAGTGTAGAAGAGATTTTGTAACAAGAAAAGAAGTTTTGAATTGTTTTAATCCAACTAGTCCAATCGTTATTATCAAAGTTTAAGTTACTTTTCAAGTCAGCAGTTAGTTTTTTTGAACTAGTATGTGGTTTGGGAGAACAAGTAGGGCAATCTGCAGTTTTAAAACCTTTAAGACCACATTTGAAACAAATCACGAATCGTGGTTGAGTACAAGTGTTCAAAGTATGACCTTGTTTACGACAGCGAACACAAAAAGAGCTTTCTTGAGGAGCTTTAGTTTGAAAGAGACTATTAATTTGTCTAGAAGGGTATTTGTAGGATGAAGTGAATTTATTCATGAAGGGAGGAGAAGGTCGTGAGTTATTAGAAGAATTTGGAGAGTCAACTGAACTTGAAGTGGAATGCTTGTAGTTGAATTCAGAAATAAGAGGACTTTGTTGTACATTTGGTTCTTTAAATTGTTTGTCTCTGTCTAGGAACTTTTCGTAGTTTTGACAAGTAGCCAGAAGAGAGTCGATAGAGTCAATGTCTTTTAGAGCTACGAAGACTGAATAACATGGGCGAATATTCCTCAAAATAATCTTCAATTGTTCTGTTTCAGAAAGTTTCTTCGAAAGACGAGAGAACATTCCAGACATGATGGAAATATAGATGACGATAGGTTCATCACGGCCTTGAGTTCGATTCCTAATCGCTTCTAGAAGTTTATGATCATAATCAAAACCACCAAAGTCTTTGATTAATAAAGAGGAAAGTTCATTCCAAGTTAAGTTTGGATTCTGATTATATTTAAATCTGAACCAATGAAGAGCATTGTCGGTAAAAATTTGGAACGCTTGAGAAATCAACAAGTCTTTGGGCAAGCCACGAGCTAAGCAGTATTCTTCAAGTTTTTGAAGAAAGGATCTTGGACAGCTTTTACCATTGAAGGTGTGTCTTTTCAGATCTTTGAAGACGTTAGTTGGAGAAAAAGATTGAGGTGGTGCTGAAGTATACGGGGTATGGATCTTAACAGAAGTTTGAGAAACAAGAGGAGGTTCCATGACAGTCGGGTCAACAGGAGGGTCAAATGATGGAGAGTCATTTTCAGTTGGAGGTGGAGTCAAGGATTCGAATTGTTTAGTAATAGCATCAAATTTCATCTTCAAAGTATCGAAAATAGCTTTAAAGTCTGGATATAAGTCAGTATCTATTCGCTCCAATCTGTAAAAAAACATGATTAATAAAAGTTTCTATAAGTCGTAAATATTTGGTTTCACCTTGTAAAAATTTTTCAATTTTACAGTCCGGGTAGGTCAAAGTAGAACCAATTTGAGACAAGTCATCCTGGATCGGAATTGGAGAAGTCAGAATATCTTCAGGGTGAGAATTCTCAACTAAACGCAAAACCTGTTTTTTTAGAAGCAAAACAGTATTAGCTGGTTCCTCACATCTAATCTTCACTTCGTATTCGAGTTCGGCCTTGTTAAGGAATTCGTACTTAATAACCCTTTTCATTGTTATAATTAAGTGCAAAGTTAAGTTTAAGAAATAAAAATTTAATTAAAAATTGTACCTCTGTAAGTTATCTAGAATAAAAATATTAAAGTGATGAATGTAAGTAAAGTGTTATATGCAGGTCTAAATATAATCCAGATAAGTTGAAAAAATAGATGAAGTTTTGTTTTAGAATTTGGAAGATATGAAAAGGAATAATAAGTAAAGAGTTAAGAACGAAAGAGAAAGCAATTAAATCAAAAGGAAATGGATAAAGCGCAGTAAAGGTGAAGAAAAGAGAAAAAAAAATTAAGAGAGAAAGAGAACTTTTACGTTGGGCGCTAAAATGTCGTGAAGCTTATACGTGGTAGAGCCATGCTATTAGTAGTATAGTTGTAGCACGAAGGGGTCGGCTCAACCGGGGAAGGACCACGCTCTCACAGAATACCAGCGTGAAATAGTAGCTTAATGCTGCTGTATTTCGTATGGTGAGTGTAGAGAACCGGAGACCCTTTTTACTGGAAATGAGGCATTCCATCTCAGTCCTCACGGGTGACAACGCATCTGCATTTTGATTTGTAATGGAAGATAGATGTAGATGTCTATGGGCCGCAGCAACCACTTACCATCAGGTGGACTGTGTGCTCGTTTGTCACCCTATCCTATAAAAAAAAAAAGCGACAATTAAAAAACTAAAGAACCTAACCTAACAACAACGAAACAACAAAAATAGAACAAAAACGAATAATTTATTTAAAATTTTAAAAGTTATTTACAGTTTTATAAAAAAAAAATATGAAGATGATGATGGGTGACGTGATTACAATTATTTAAAAAAAATAACAAAGATAAATGAGTACTGAAACGGAGCCCGAAGACCGAGGTGGCACACAGCGCTTGGCAGTGGTGCTCACCGATCACGGAGTATGCACAGGCTATGCCTAAATAAAAGATCGAAAAAGGTAGACTCCATTGACACCGATTTAAAAAGTGCTGATAGCGTGAAAATACGAAGTGAAAATGATTTGTTATTGTGTTCTTATGGTTTAAAAACGTTACAGAATCCTATGGAAATAAAGGTGATGCAAAATATCCAGTTTTGAGGTGAATGCAAAAAATCAAAAACAGAATGGAAAAATAAATTTAAAATAGTGTAAAATGATATGTAAGTAGCATAACACTACACAATATCGCTTTCATTAAGTTCTCCTGAAACTCTTAAACCGTCATCGACGTTTATAAAATCTTGGAATGTTGGCTGTTGATTATTGTCGTTGCTGATGGCTAAGTTCCAATCTTCAGGATCAGTTTCTAAATTTTCGTCCTCCTCTTGTAAGCTTTCAGCTACAGTTACTTTAGATTTAAATCCAGATTTTTAAAGCAGTTTGCTATAGTAGTTTTGGTCACAGAAAACCAAGCCTTCCTAGCAAACCTCATCGCCTGAAGAACATCGATTTGTGGGCACTGATTGTCTTCTATAGATTTAATAACATGTCGAACAACTTCTTTTCTGTAATAAATTTTGAAATTGTTGATGATGCCTTGATCCATTGGCTGCAATTTACTTGTCGTATTCGCAGGCAGATACACGAGTTTAATGTGGCTTAGCTCGGGCATATTATTGTGAGCAGTACAATTGTCCACAAACATTAAAATTTTTCGCTTCTGGGCTTTCATTTCTTGGTTTAAATTCTTCAACCAATCAGAAAAAATAGTGCATGTCATCCATGCCTTTTTATTATTTTGGTAATTCACAGGCAAAATTTTATCACCTTTGAAACATCGTGGAGACAACTTTTCAGTTCCTGACATGTTAGCACCTAGAAATATTGTAATGCGCTCTTTACTAAGTTTCCCGCCATGACAAGACTAACCTTTTAAGGTAAAAGTTTTATTGGGTAGACACTTATAAAATAAACCCGCTTCGTCTGCGTTAAAAATATCATCAGCAGAATAATTGCGTAATAGAACTGGTAGGTCTTCAATCCATTGGCTACATTTGTTAACATCAACAGCGTTACTTTCTCCACAAATTGCTTTGAAAACTATACCGTTTCTTTTCTTAAACCCTTCCATCCAACCATTGCTGCTACAAAAATTATGAATATCGAGCCTTCGCGCGAAATCTTGTGCCTTTTCTTTAATCATCGGTCCACATACCGGAACGTTTTTGTTACGACGGTGCTTAACCCATGTTACAGCTCGTTCACGGTAGTCGTAAGTCGCATATGACTAAAAGTCGAAAGTCTGATGTACCTGTTCACACTGCGTCGCGAGTCGTATAGGTCGTAGTTTTGCGCCATTCGGTACGTAGCGAACTCACGAGATGGACGCCGACGAAGAACTTGTTGTGCTCTACTACTTACGAAGAAAATTAAAAAAGTTGAAAAAAAAAAGTCAATTCCAAGAAAATACTGGATGCACCCAATTCTAACAGAAAGATCGACTTTAGGAAGTTATAAAAATTTAATACATGAATTAAAAAATGACGAACGAAAATTTAATTATTTTAGAATGTCACAAGCAACTTTCAACGACCTACTGTCAAGAGTTTCTGCGAGCATCACGTATCGGAATACGACATTTAGAGACTGCATTTGTCCTGAAGAAAGACTGTCGATATTTCTTAGGTAAGTGTTTTTTTTTAGAACCACACTACAACTGCTACAAATATTCAGATTGTATTTGTAGTGTAGTAGTCTGATTGTAGCAGTTGTAGTGTGATTTCTTAGGTGTATTAAAATTGAAACAAAAGTTATTTTAACTTGTTTATTTTAAGTAGGTAATTAGCGCAACATACTACAATAATTCAAAAATGGGAGAAATTTAATTCAGTACTTTCCGACCAAGTAGATGCAGCAGGCGATCCTTCCTCATACGTTTGACGTCTTTCATATCCAGACCCATGTGGTGTAAGAACAGCCTGGTTTTGAGAGGAATATCCGGATTCATCGGTAGATAAATAATTATAGTTCTGTGTCGAATACCTCGATCGCCGTGTGCTATCACGCGCGTAATTATAATTATTTGCATAAAGTCTGTTTTCACGTTTCTTTTTGATTTGTTGTATCAGTGATAATACACCTGATTGAAGCTCCAACGTTTCGTCATCGTCGAAAGACGTAACAGAGGGTAGGATACCTTTAAAAAATGATAAAATTGGGGGATCAGTTTGTTGTGATAGCCTGCTGTCTAAAAACTCGCTCATTTTGACATCTAAGTCCATTATATGTTGCTGTGGTGGCATGGTCTTTTGTCTTTTAGAAGTGCTTGGTTGCGAATTTTCAGACAACTGAGTACTACCTTCTGTCCCTGGTTGAGATATACGCGACGCAACAGACTCTTGAGGAGGATTATGTCTAGCAACTTTACGCAAAAAATCCATTTGCTCTTTATATACATATGGCTTTGACGACTTTGCCCCTGATCCTGATTTTTTTTCATCATTTTTGTTTGTTCGTACACAGACATTCCGTAAGTTCGTCCACTTGGTCAATACTAATTTACCTGAAATTATATTGCAACATTATTTTCAGATATTGTGCGTCAGGATGTTCCTTCAAAGACCTGCACTACAATTTCAGAGTCGGGGTATCAACTGTTAGTAAAATTATCAAAGAAATGAGTTGCATTATCTGGGATACATTAAAAGAAGAGTTTATGAAGTTGCCCGACAATGAAAATAAATGGGAAAACATCGCAAATGGTTTTGATATTAAAGCTAACTTCCCTTGATTTGGTTTCACTACTTTTAGAGTAGTGAAACCAAATCAAAGCGGCTCGATGTATTTCAATTACAAAGGTTATTTTTCATTTGTTTTACTAGCTGTTGATGCAGAATACCGTTTAATTTATATAAGTGTTGGTTCATATGGGAAAGAATGCGATTCTTCCATATTCAAGGAGACTACCTTTTGGAAGAAACTGAATGATGGTAGTTTAAACATACCAAAGCCAAGGCCTCTTCATAAAACAATCGAAAAGGATATGCCCTATGTACTAGTTGGCGATGAAGCTTTCCCCCTGACGACAAATTTAATGAGACCTTTCGGAGGCAATCGTTTGGATGATACGAAAAGAATATTTAATTATCGATTATGCCGTGCAAGACGATTTGTTGAGTGTGTTTTTGGAATTTTAGCTAATAAATGGAGAATACTGCATCGACCATTGGATGTCCACCCAGACACAGCTATCCATATTGTGAAAGCCTGTGCAGTATTGCATAATTATTTAAGAGAAAGGGATGGTCTAAACTTTGAAGATATTCAACTTGCACTAGAACAATCGATACAAGAACAAGATCAACAACAGAGAGTACATAATCCTCGTGGTGGTCCGATTGCAAATGTTATACGATCGGACTTTGCAGACTATTTTACTTCCCCGATTGGTTCGCTGCCTTGGCAAACTAATGCGCGATACGCATAATATAAATGAGTTAAAAATTAATAATACAACTGTAAATACATAACTATGTAGTATAATAGTTAATAAACTTTACTGGCACTTACCGAAATGTTGTCTTTCTTTTTCTTCCATGTTTTCAAAATTAGGTATTAGTATGGTACAAATTTCGCGCCAGGCCAATAGTTTCAGATTATTATTTTTGTAGTCATTTAAAGTTTTATCCCAAAGGACTGCTCTTTCGTGAACTAATGGAATTAGTTCTTCGGGTTTTATTTCTTTCTCCATTTTCACACAACAAACAAAAACAACGCGCGCGCAACCAACACGACGAATAAAACACGAATGGAGTGAGCAAGCTATGTGTAGCGAACTAGGAAGCGGGGTGGGGAGAGAGGTAACAACGCGCTCGAGTCGATTAGATGCACGACTAGTGTGAACAGCAACAAGCAGGCACCTATGCGAGCACGATTCGACGCGATTTTTAGTCTTACAACGGGCGCTGGCCCGTCGGATGGTTTTTTGAGTCGTATTAGACTAAAAATCGCGTCTCATCCAATGTGAACAGCTCCATATAAAGTGTATGGTGACCAGAGCATTCGACTTTTAGTCATATGCGACTTACGACTAGTGTGAACCGGCTCTTAGCAAACACTGTTCAAGTTCAGGATATTCTGATAAACGTACACGTTTTAGTTTTCCTTGTCCTTCAGAACATTGTGATTCAATTTTATGTTTACTCTGAATTATTCTACAAAGAGTAGATTTTGGAACACGTTAAATTCGGCACAAACTTCTTCGCGTGTCTTCCCACTTTCATAAACGGATATTAACTTCAGTTTTTCACGTAATGATAACGATTGTAGCTTTCGTTTTGACTTTTTCAAATAAACATCTGTATGATAGTAAAGCGAAACTAAAACTGAACGTGTGGAATTTGTGGGTAGAATAAGAATGAGTAAACAAACTATGTTATCTCAGTTACAGAGGTTTATGCATATAAAGTTTACTCGCTGTCTCAGTTATAGAGGTAACTATGATGATAAATCGAAAGAACAAATCCCAGATATAGAGGTTTACCTCGTCCCACTAACAGAGGTAATTTAGTGCCAAAGTGTTGCGACCTCAGCATGAGTTCCAGTTATGGAGGTTTCTCACTTATCCAGGTCCCACTTAACCAAGTTTTACTGTTAAAACTACTTTTACGGATTTTATCGCGTTTATTTTTACTTTTTATTTACTTTTATTTTTAATTCCCGATCCCGATCCCGATTTGGATTCTGGTAGAAATAATGAATTATCTTTTAGTTTCTTTCCAAATGCAGAGTTGCTAAATATTCCTGCATCACTGAAACGTCCCTTTGATCCAACGTCTATTGCAATGAATTTATATCTTGCATCGACAACAGCAACTAATCATCAGCAGGAATCGGTGTTCTTTAGCGAGGATTTGTGGTCTATCAAATCTGATGTAGTGACGGGGGCGATCCTGTACATGTTCACAGACTGCAGACTTCCCGGAGCGTCGATTCTTCACATCAGCTATATGTTCTTTGACGCGACTACATCAGATTTGATAGACCACAAATCCTCGCTAAAGAACACCGATTCCTTCCAAGGATGATTCGCGAGGCTATTGAAATCAAAAAACATCCTAATTTCAATAGAGAAGATGGCTGGGTGCTACCATCTGCTTGGGATCCTATAATAAATAAAATTAAATCCCAACCCAAGCATACAACTGCAAGACTCCATGATACCATAAGTTCATACTGTGTAGATCGGAACAAAAGTTAAATTTTAATCTATGGTAACCGCGGTTAACTATGACAGCTGGACGTTGAACATCTCAGTCCTTCCCGTGACCATGGGTGCTGTAAAGCTCTCGAAACGTCGGGTAAAAAAGTTAAATATACGCGATAAATTCCGTAAAAATTAGTATTATTTCAATGTGTAGTGTTCGCGTAAATATAAGAAATCGACATGGATCATTTTTTTTCTTAGTGTTTGTGAAAGTACAAAAAATTACCCAAACCGGCACAGCTTCGTCTTAAGAGAAAGATTTTTAATTTAGTTACGGAAGAAGAAGAGTTAAACATTTACAATGATATGTATGCATCTGAGAGTTATAATAGTGCCTTAACTGGTACTCGAGGGTATACAACAGCTCAAGGTGTCCAATCCTCAGATACCAATTGTCATACATTACACAATGTGTTTACATCTCCAAGTAGTGCCTCAAATCAATCTGTAGGAGGATATACAGCTGAACAAGATGCCAATGACCTTCCAGTCGGTGAGAACACCGTGTTCGGACCGTATGCAAGAGAGGAGGCCAATGCTACTTCGCTAATTGATTAATTTAAAAATTCTTAGCGGTACCATTTTAATTTCATTTTTGCTAAGTACTTGTTTTTTATATAATGTAACATTAGTAAAGTTAATGAACTTTTTTACCATTGTTTTATTATATTGACAAGTCACGCACGCACTACGTACATACTTAGAGTACTGCCGCATTGCATGTAAAGTTTTCAAAAGATATGTCAAAATAGGTTCACTATCTTACCATGTAAAATTTTTATGAATTATTATTCTACATACAAAATCAATTACTAATACATACACGAGGGAAAATGTAAAGAGAAAATTGCCTTATCTTGTGCATTCAAATAATTTACTTACCTCAAACAGATTGCTAATTTCTCTTCTGTGCTTATGGCTTTCTTACAGTCAATTTTGTTTTTTACACAACAGAGTTTTGAGAACAAAACCAACAGCAGTGTTTCCTCGTCATATTCCATTTTGTTAGTGAGTGTACTGTACGTCGTAAACTCGCTGTGAACACGCGACAAAAACGTAAATTAGCGTCCGCGACGTCCTTAGCTCACACTCCGAGAAGTCTGCAGTCTGTGAACATGTTCAAGATCGTCCCCACCTTTACATCAGATTTGATAAACCACAAATCATCGCAAAAGAACACCGATTCCTATCAAGGATGACACGCGAGGCTGTTGAAATAAAAAAAAAACATCCTAATTTCAATACAGAAGATGCATGGGTGCTGTCATCTGCTTGGGATCCTATAATTAACAAAATTAAACCCAAACCCAACCATACGACTGCAAGACTTCAAGATACTGTAAGCTTGTTTTGCGTAGATCGGACCGAAAAATTAATATTAAAATACTGACTATAGCCGGGCTAACTATGACATTGGGACGTCAAACAGTCCACCCCGTGACCATGGTTCATGGTGTTGTGAAGCACCCGAAACGTCGGAAAATAAAAATAAGTGAAAGTAGTTAAATAAACGCGATAAAATCCGTAAATTTAGTTTTATTCAATTTGTATTGTGCGCGTAAATTTAAGAAATCATTATCGTATGTTATGTTTTTCAATGTCTAGCACTCTTGCTGCTTCTAATAAGAGTCGCGATAATAATACAGCCCCACACAGTTCTAACCTAGGGATAGAGACTTGTTTCACTGGTGTAACTTTTGTTTTTGCAGTTAACAGAGCTACGTTAATCGCCCCACTGGAGTCGATTACACGGAAGTAAATAACCGCTGCGGATGCACTATTACCATCATCCTGTTAATGATTTATCCATGTTATAATCTGTTAAAACCCGTTTAGCTGCCATAGGATAATTATCATCTTCATTGAGAGCCAACTGATGCAACGCTTTAACTGCCAGGTAAGGCGCAGAGGTGGTTCCAAATGTCACCCTCAGCATTCTATAGTGCTTCATCTCAGTTTTAGCATCATCTCTCCAGATAATCCTCTGAAACTCCACATCTGAATCGGAAATCTTACTTGCCGATACATTTTTGCAATATCAGCAATGAGACAGACGGGCGGAATATCCATCGCAAGACCAATTGTCGCAGCTCTGGCTGTAAGGTAGGTCCTATAAAGAGATTATAATCATTAATCACGCCATTATTGTTAAAGTCCAGTCAATTCAGTGTATAAATCATGCATAATCACATTATCACATAATCAGACCATAGGACTATCATTATCATTGAGAGACATGCTATTTTTACCTTTACAAGGAGCATCGTATACTACCACGACTTTCATCGTGTCTTTGTCTTCTCGTATTACCGCGTGATGAAGTAAGTAGATTGCCAATGGATTATCGAACGCGACACCCCTTGGGTAAAAAGGGGGCGCCGGCGGTGAGTAGCTGCTGAGAAGTGTGCCTACCTTAGGCAGATTATGAGATGAGATAGGGAGGCTCGGTCTGAGCCGCCAGGGGCGGTTCATATATATATATCCTGTAACGTATTGTACGTCCACTATGGCCAATTTTGCATATA